GCCAGCTGCAGTTTGAATCTCATAGCCGGCAGCTCGAGAAACACACCAGACATGTGCACATGTGCCCAAATCCCAAGAGAACATTGGAGGAGAAGGGATTGTGGCATGGCCGTCCTCCCCCCAGAGATTTTTCCCTGTATCTCTCTCTCTCTAACACACGTGCTGCATATCAAAACTAAAAAGTGAAAATCGCACACCTTCCAGATCCACAGGTTTATAACTGAGTGTCTTCAGACTCAGTGACCATGACAGTCAGCTCCAGCCCTGAGCCATGGCAGGGAGGGTGGTCTCCATTTCCCCTCCTATTCCTGCTTGTGCCAGGCTTCATACCAGTCCCTTGGGTCTGCAGTCTCCAGCTCCTAAGAGCTCCCAAGTGACTCCACCGGGCCTCTTTGCCTCCGTGGGACGTTCCCAGGTGCTACCGCAAAGGGACCGAGGGAGAGAAGCCAGACCCTGCCCCAGAAACTTCCTTCCCCTCCTTGCACCCCTCTCTCCAGTTGTCATGGTTCGTTTATGTGGTCACCAACACATGCAGGAGGGCTGGAAGGAGCCACAATGACACACAGCACCAGGGCGGGCCACGAGAACAGTTCCAGGTTGGAAATGCACCCCGTCTTTCTCCCCGTGTCGGAGATCTCACCTTCCTGGCCTCGGGGCTCCCGCAGCTGCTGTTCCCTGAAGTCCGCGTCAGCGAGGGCACAGGGTTTTTCATTGCTGCTTTCAATTTCGTGGAGGTGGCGGTGACACATCTCTGCTGTGTTCCATGCAGTGGAACGCCGTTGGGAACCAGGGGTCCGGTCACAAGTGGCAGGCCACTGCTCCACGGCCCCAGGAGAGCCACGCTCTCCCAGAGGCACCCAGTGCAGATGGTCAGGGAGGACAGGCAGTGAAGCTGGCTCGTGGCTTCCTCCCGTGCAGACCGAGGGGCTTCTACCCGGGCGCCACAGCCTTCGAGGCACGTCTTCAGTGGGACGACCCCTGGGCCTCTTGTGACGTGTGACCACCTGGGTTCCACCGTTTCTGCCACCACCAATTGGCTTAGCGACGGTGGCGAGAGCCATCTTCTTTGTGATCCTGGATCCAGGGCCAAGTGCTTCCTCTGGGACCCGGCCTTCCGGGGGGCATGGCAGAGTGGGAGTGACGCCGAGTCCTCGTTCTAGGGCAGAGTTTTGACTCGGTGGGGCTTCCCTTCTTTCTTTTTAAATGTATTTATTTTAGTTCACTTATTTAGTATTCCTTTATATATTTAATTCGCTATAAGGCACTTGTACTCATCAGAGAGAGAAAGCCAGCCGCCAGGTCAGGACTCGAACCGCAGTCAGCCAGGTAGGAATCCAGTGCCCCAACCACCACACCACCTGTTGGCCCCAGGGCTTCCCCACCTTGGGCTCTCTAGCCCTGGGGTCGCCATTTGTGACCTTGTCTCTGGCGTCAGCCTCTTTGGCTCAGGTTCTTCTCCTTAGCTCCGGCCCCTCAGCGCTCGCTCACCACTGTGTAAAAGGAAGAAGAGCTTTTCCTTCTAACCTGAGATAAAAGGAAGGCCATCCTCACCTTCGGTTTCCTGCTGGGTCCGACCTCACCCCAACAGGGACTCCGAGGCTCAGCCAGAGGTAGAGGCCACGCTCAGTGCCTGCGTCCTGGGTTTGGCAGGCGCCCTGCCCCAGGTGCGTCCTGACCCCCCTCCCCATGGGACCCTGGACCGCCCTGCCCGCCAGGCCAAGCTGCTGTCAGCCAGGCCAGCCGCCCAGACCTCTGTGCCATCTGTCACCGCCCCAGAGAATCAGGTCATTCTGAGTCCTAGAAAAATAGACCATCAGGCAAGCACACCTGCTTAGGTCTGACCTGTACACGTATGGGTGTAGACCAGTGTGAATCAGGAACACTGAGCCCGGCCCTCGGCCGTTGGGAGAGGGCTACTGTGAGCGCCGAAGGAGGAGCAGACGCCGCTTCCCGTGCCGTCGGGGGGGGGGGAAGATTGTTAAAGTTTGGCGTTTCCTTCAGGAAATGAACGAGGAAGAGGGTAGGCTTTGCTCCGTCTTCAATAGGATGGTCTAGTTGGAGACAGGACATCCCAGTACATGGAATCGCGGCAGGAGCTGAGGGCTTCTCATTCCGTGTGTTCTGCTCTTCGTAATCGTTGACAGAGCACTTGACGTTTGTGAAATCCTCGCAGGTCATGTGAGCACACTCCCAGCTGTTCTGTGGCCTTTCCCTGTGTCGTCCTCCTGGCGCGCTCCACAAACGTACCACATCTGTAGCCGGGGCTTTGATGCGTTTTCACACCCGAAGGTCCGGCTGCCGCGCCGTTGTCAGAGAACTGTCACCCTCTCCCGCTGTCTCCTGCTGTCACCCTCTCTCTCCCACTGCCACCCTCTCTCTCCCACTGTCACCGTCTCTCTCCCGCTGTCTCCCGCTGTCGTCGGCAGCTCTCCTCATGCCCACACCGTGCTCGTCAGAGCTACCCCCCCAGTGCTGCTGAGAGGATGCTGCGCTGTGTAGATGCTCATGAGGCTTGATCCTGCAAACCCCCTGTCCTAGGTGTGCAGGTGCCGTGGATGGGCCCCGAGCCTGCTGGTGTAGACAGGTCAGACACACAGCCTATTCCCAGGCCGAGAAGCAGAGCACCCGGGCATGCGCAGCCGGCCTTGGGCTTGTAGGCCTCTCTGAGCCACGGCGGTCAGCATCTCCTCAGTGTGCTCCAGACACCTGGACACGTGGGTTGTGACCCCTGTGTCACTGAGCGTGTCGGCCTGTGTAACGTACGTGTGTATATGTGCACGTACTTGTGTGCACACCTCATGTGTCTGTGCATAGTCCACGTACCTGTGTACTGCATGGACACGGCATGCATAAGATGCTCAGAGTCGCCGTGTGTATTGTATATGTGCACATACGTGTGCGTGCACACCTCGTGTGTGTGTGCATACCTGTGTACTGCACAGACATGGCATGCATAAGATGCTCAGAGTCGCTGTGTGTATTGTATGCATGCACATACGTGTGCGTGTACACCTCGCGCATGTGTGTGCATAGTCCACGTACCTGTGTACTGCACGGACGCGGCATGCATAAGATGCTCAGAGTCGCCGTGTGTATTGTATACGTGCACATACGTGTGCGTGCACACCTCGCATGTGTGTGTGCATAGTCCACGTACCTGTGTACTGCACAGACGCGGCATGTATAAGATGCTCAGAGTCGCCGTGTGTATTGTATATGTGCACATATGTGTGCGTGCACACCTTGCATGTGTGTGCATAGTCCACGTACCTGTGTACTGCACGGACGCGGCATGCATAAGATGCTCAGAGTCGCCGTGGGTATTGTATGTGTGTTTACTACACAGGTTGCCTGTGACACTTAAATCTTCCCTATGTCTTTCGTTGTTTGTCTTAAGCACTTTCTCATTTTAAAGAGTCTTTTAAAACGGATTTTTTTGGTTTTGCTATAGTGCACATGTGCTTGCCAGAGGCAGAGAGAGACAGAGACAGAAGACAAACAGTGAGAAGTCACCCCCGGGGAATGGTCACACCACAGCCTTTATCTTGGGACCTTCATGCCTGGTGTGAGTTCCACGCTGCCAGGTCCATGACTCGAACTGCAGAATCACCATGTGGGACCCAGCACCGTAAGCTCCACGCCACCTGCTGGCCCAGGGAGCGTTTGAATAGCTATGTAATCTGAAGCTGCTGTAAATAACCTCAGCAGCCTCTCCTGCCCCTCCTCTAGGAGGGATCTTAGAGAGTTGCAGTTAACTTTGAGGCTTAAGCTTAATACACTCTCTTCAGCTGTGTTTCAGAAAAGTCTGGCGGACTCTGGGCGGCATGTGGGCACTGTGGTTGGGACGGCGTCACTGTGGTGACCCTGCTGCCTCAACTTCTGGAGGAGCTGGGATGTAGGGACAGCCCACGCCCAGGCTCGTCACCTGGGCCAGGGATCCGGCCAGGGCCCTGTGTCCTCTGCCCTCCGGGCAGTGGTCCAGCCTATGCTCCGCAGGTGGGCCTGGCTCGGATGTTTTTATGTTTATTTTTCCACCCAAGTTCGGCTCACTAGTAAGTTGCTGCACCCCTCTGCCGTCCGGTGTGGCTGACCGCTATCATTTAGCCCCTGTAACGCCGTGAGACTGTCTATTTCAGGCCTCCCAACTCCTGCACGTGCCCAGTGCCTACCGCTCTGCTCACGGGGCTGAGAGCGGGGCATTCACCGAGGCCACTGAGGGGCATAGGGCACAGTGCTAGTTAGAGCTAACTGGGGGACCCGCAGATAGTGTGATGGTCACAGCGCTGGGCTCCCACACGACTGACCGCAGTTCCAGTTCTGGACCCAGTGGCTTCAAACTCAGGCCGGGCGTGTGTGCATGTGTGCCCCAGATGGAGGAAAAGGGATTACGGTGTGTCCATCCCCACGGGGAGTGATTTCTCACTTTCTTTCTGTCACTCTCTGTCTTTCTGTGAGCTCACTCTCTCTATAGCAAAAATCTCTCTTAAATAAGTAAATAGAGCCATTAAAGCGTTAACTTGGGCTGACGGTAGCACGTATGGCAGTGTCTCTGTCATAACCGATACACAGTATTTTCGTGCTGGAAAAACCATGTTGTACACTATAAAGATGTATAGTGATTGAATGTAAATAAGTAATGCATATAAAAGTGAAAAATAAAAACAACTTAGGAATGCTGGGCCAGCCTCACAGCCTGAAGCCCAGGGACAACGATGTGGCCTGCCACCCGCCACACAGGAGGGGAGGCAGGAGGGTCCGGTCACAGCACACGGCTGGTCTGGACGGTCCTGGGAGACCCCGAGAGAGGGCCCCTCCCTGTGTCCCGTTGGTTGTTCATTCCCAGATTCTCATGACCAATTGTGTGGGCCCGTGCACACTCGCTCTCCCAGGGCCTGCTCACGCGATCGCCGTCCCCGACGGCCGGCAAGAGCTACCACCGCAGAGCGGGCCCTGCGTCAAGTGGCCGGGCGTCTGACGACGTGTCCCGTTGTGTCTTGCAGAGCTGCAAGAACTGGAGGGCTGCAGTGGACCTGTGCGGACGCCTCCTCACGGCCCACGGCCAGGGCTACGGCAAGAGCGCCCTCCCCCCCAGCCACACAACGGACTCGCTGCAGGTCAGCACCTTGTGTGGCCCGTGAGACTCTGGGCAGGAGCTAGGTGTGGATCTTCGTGTCTTGAACGTAATCCCGTTGGAACTGCCCTGGCTCTCCCTTTCTCTTCATGCTGCGGGGTTTTCGGTGATGCTGAGGGAGTCCCCTCCCTGTCGGGGAGTAGCTGTGTGCACCCCAGAGGGTCCTCTCAGCACTCACTCTCATGGTAGACCTGGGCAGGGCTCGAGCTGGCCCTGGGCTGCCCGCTGTGACACCACCATGAGGTTCTCTGGGCTCTGTGGGAAGCAGCCACTGCCAGTTCACTGGCTCTGCTGCAGGGGTGCGTCCCACTGCTGGGGGTGGCTCCTTGTCAGAGCATGTTCCCAGACCTGAGACTTAACAGTAGAGAAGGGGGACCAGCAGATGCCGCAGAGGTTACATTGCTGGACTCCCACTTGGCTGAGGGTAGTTCAAGTCCCGGACCTGGTGGTTTGAAACTTGCACCAACTATGCGTGTGTCCCCAAAACCCCAGGAGGGGAAGGGCAGCGAACCTTGGGGGTGTTTCTTACTTTCCCTCTTACTGTCTGTCTGTCTCTGTCTCTGTCTCACACCAGTGAGTACACCTGCCCTAAGGCAAAACCTCTTTAAAAGAACAGAGAGAGCACAGGAGAGAGTGGGGGCGCGAGAAGGGCGGAACTGCGGCCCACGTTCGTGGCTCACCTGACCCGGGGCACTACACGGGAACCTCTCAGCACCAGGCGGGTCACCACACCCCAGCCAGGTGTAAGAGGACCTGGGGGGCCCCAGGCCTGCTGCCTTCCCAGGAGTCGGGGAGCGGGGAGGCAGCCCTCCCGCCCTCTTCTTCCCTGCCCTTGCCTTCCTCAGAGCGCAGGCCCAGTCCAGACCCCGGGACGGGGACGGTGCGTGCTGTCCTGTGGACTGGTCCGCCTGCCCTTCGCACGGAGACTGTCCCGACGCAATTGCAGTCGTTCTCCCGCTAACCGCGTCCCCTTGCCCAGCACGTGGGCGTGATCCCTAGTCTTCAGTCTTCCAGGCACAGCTCCACCATGGCTGAGCCCAGTCGGGCTGCCCAGGCCCCGAGCCCTTGCTTGCCCTCGGACTTGGAGCGGTCATTCTGGTGGCCTCGTTTTTCTCTCTTTCTTTCTTTTAATGTTATCTCAGGAATTATTTAGTTGACAGATAACACTGAGTACATGTACTGAGGTCACGCAATAGTCAGGCCCGAGCTCACGGTGCAGAGGGTGGCCAGCAGTGGGCCCTCCCGCCGTGTGGTGTGCCACTTTTCTCCTCCATTCAGGGGCTCAGTGCCACCCCACAGTGTGGTGAGTGGGATGCCGTCGTTTCTTTTTTAAGAGGTTTTTGCCTTAGGGTGTGTGTGCTCACCAGAGAGAGAGATAGAGACAGAGACAGTGTGAAATCATGCTCCGGGAACATGGCATTCTCCACTCTCCTCCTGGGTTCTTGGGCACATATGCACACACGCCTGGCGTGATTTTGAAGCCCCAGGACCGGGAGCCAACTGCGGTCGACCGTGTTGGGGAGTCCATAAGCGCTGTGCCATCTGCGGGTCCCAGGCTGTCATCTAGGGTGTGTGTCACCTGCGGGTCCCTGCTCCAGCCCTCTGGTCTGAGCCCCGGCCACCCAGGTCCCTGTGTCCGGGCCTTTCCTGAGCTTGTGGGGCCCACACAGATTGCCCGCTTTGGCCGCGTGCCCCATCCGTGCTGTTCTAGTCCCGTGCCCTCCCTGCCGCCCCACAGAGCCCCCGCCCCGACATGCAGTGACCTCTGGTCTCCCCTCTCTGCCGCCCCTCGGAGCCCCCGCCCCAACGTGCAGTGACCTCTGGTCTCCCCTCTCTGCCACCCCACGGAGCCCCCGCCCCCATGCAGTGACCTCTGGTCTCCCCTCTCTGCCGCCCCATGGAGCCCCTGCCCCGGCGTGCAGTGACCTCTGGTTTCCCCTCTGTGCCGCCCCACGGAGCCTGCATGCAGTGACCTCTGGTCTCCCCTCTGTGCCGCCCCACGGAGCCGGCGTGCAGTGACCTGTGGTCTCCCCTCTCTGCCGCCCCACAGAGCCCCCACCCCAGCGTGCAGTGACCTGTGGTCTCCCGTCTCTGCCGCCCCATGGAGCCCCCGCCCGGCGTGCAGTGACCTGTGGTCTCCCGTCTCTGCCGCCCCATGGAGCCCCCTCCCGGCGTGCAGTGACCTGTGGTCTCCGCTCTGTTGCAGCTTTGGTTTGTGAGGCTGGCGCTCCTGGTGAAGCTGGGCCTTTTCCAGAATGCCGACCTGGAATTGGAGCCCTTCGGAAACCTCGACCAGCCGGACCTCTACTATGAGTACTACCCTCACGTGTACCCTGGGCGCAGGGGTAAGGCCGCAGCTTGGGGCTGCCTTCACGTGCCTCACTCACTGTGCTTGTTTCTGCACGGTCCCGCGTCGCAGCTTTCTCCTCTCCTCTATCCTGGGAAGCAAGGAGCCAGGACAGGGGCCTTGGCTGGAGGGGTCTCCTCGCTCCAGTGTCACGCTGCCTGGGACACGCAGTGCAGTTTTGCTCCCATGATGGCATCCACCCGGCACGGCCATGTCTGAGCAGTGCGACATGCGGGGCCAGGGCGCTCGGCGTCCCAGCTTCCCAGTGGGGCTTCCCAGTCCCCAGTGCCTGGTCAAGGCTGGTCATGGCCTGGCACGTACAGCACATGCACACAGCAAACGGCCTCATGCGAACAGCACCTGCCCCCAGGCACACGGGACGTTTGCCGTTGGTCTCTGTCCACAGTCGTTTATCGTGGAATCTGGCTGAGCCCCTGGTGGGCACAGTCCCGACGTTGTGTGGAAAACAGGCTACAGCGGCAGGTGGTCCAGGGGAGAACCGAGGACAGGCACAGGCAGCGTGCAGAGAGCCTCCTCTGTCCTCAGGAGCATGACGTGGAGGGGCTTGTACATGTGTGTGACAGCTCTGCAAGCATGTGACAGGTGTGATAGGTCTACACGTGCGTGTGACAGCTCTGCGTGTGTGTGACAGCTCTGCAAGCATGTGACAGGTGTGATAGGTCTACACGTGCATGACAGCTCTGTGTGTATGACAGCTCTGCATATGCATGCGACAGCTCTGTGTGCTTGTGACGGCTCCATACGTGCATGTAACAGCTCTGTACATGTGTGTAACAGCTTCGGGCGTGTGTGTGACAGCTCCAGGCATGCATGTGCATGTGACAGTTCTGGACATGCATGTGACAGCTCTGTGCACACGTGTGAGATGAGAAGCTGTCCTTGGCAAGACGGTGTGAGTGTAGCTATTGACGCCAACCCTGCCCTCAGACTTGCCCACTCACCTCTTCACTCCCCGCCAACGTGCATGACCTCGGGCAGGTGACCTGGCCTCCTCGCGGCGTCCTTCCCAGCACAGAGGGCTGCTAGACACACAGTGGCACCTGGCAGGCACCTGGCACAGCGGCTGGCACACGAGAGCCCCGCGCTCCCTCCCGGCGTAGGACGAAGCCATCAGTAGTATGGCCGTGCCTGGTGACGTTTCCGGTTGGGGCAGCAGTGCGGCTGCAAGCGCGATCTGGCTGTCAGAGATGGGGCCTTGTGGGCGCTGCGGCAGCACAGGGCGGGGAGGGCACAGGCTGTCGGCGCAAAGCTGCTGCTCTCAGCCAGCGTTGGCGGAGCGATGGCGCCTGCTCAGATTGGACAGACCGAGACCAGAAGTGACAGTGTTTTCAACGTCTCTTTCTGTGCTTTCCCTCAAAATCGCATCCTGCATGCTCGAGGGGACAGGGCAGCAGCAGCTGTGTCCCCAGGGCCGTGTCCCATGTCACTCCTCCTTGCCCAGGACCGTCTGCAGCTGTCCGCACACTAGGGTGCTCTCTGGCTCCCCCTGACTGAGGGGTCGCCCCTCGGAGGAGAGAACATGGAGCGTTGGCCTGACGTGGAGGCGGCCGGGTCACAGGACCACAGCCACCGCCACCCGGGAACAGGACACCGGGCCTCCCTTCCCTGTGGCCTGGTACGCCCTGCCAGCCTTTGACGTGACCAGCGGAGATAGCCCAAAGTGGGGACTGTGAGGAGTGCGAGATGCCCAGCTGACCTCTCTGTGGGGCTCCCCGGGCTGCTTCCCCAGAAGCCGTGTCGCCAGCACGCATGGGCTACATATGTCTTCACTGCCTTCCTGGGGTGCTTCTCGCCACCCTGGGAACAGGGCCCCGTCCCTCCACTCTCCTGTGGTCAGCTCTTGCGCGTTCTCCCTGAAGCCCACCCGTCCCTTCCACACGCAGGTGGTCCCTCTGCCCTGTGTGTTGGGAACAGCCCAGCCCCTCCCGCGGGTGCTTCTCAGCTCGTAAGTTAGTTCGCTTCCCAGTTCTAGCACGTTCCGTTCCCGTCTGTCCTTTTAGCTGTCGCGGTTCCTCCTGGCCCCGTCAGGCGATGAGCAGACTTCCCGCGGGCTGAGCCAGTCTCCTGAGTTGTGGCGGGCAGCGCTCAATGGACGGGCAGCCGGTGTCATTGAAGGGGGAAGTCGGGCGTTTCTATGTCGTCCGTGGTGCCTGGCGGCTTTGACAGTCAGGAGGTGACTGTTTGTGTATTTCTTTTTTATTTTTATTTCTCAGTTTGCTGTAGAGTGCATGCATTTGCTAGAGAAAGACAGAGACAGAAAGAGAGAGAGGGAAAATGAGAGATCAGCCCCTCACCACTCTCCTTGTCTCCTCTAAGAATTCTGGGCACGAACCTGCGTTCAATGTGATTTTCAAGTAGCCAGGTCCAGGACTCGAACCAGGCAGTCAGCCATGTGGGATCCAGCACCTTAGCCTCTGCACCACCATTGGCACTTCATTTCTTGCACAGGGAACAGCTGTGTTCCCCTCCAGCACAGCGGAGGGCTTCTTCCCAGTCTGCCTTGCCCTGCCCACCTAATTCCCACTCCCAGCAAGGCTGGGCCGGCCCCTGCCCGACTCCACCTGCACCGGAGCTGACCCCCTCTGGTGACTGTCTGCTGCTGAGAAAACACCCGGAGGCTGGCACACAGGCCCCCACTCAGTGCGGCCACACCAGGGACCCTGTGGCGTGGAGCTGCGGACACGCTCGGCCCCCTTTCCTGTTGAGCTGAGACTCCATGAGCACCCACGCCCACGCCCGCTGCTTCTGAGTACATGGCAGGGTTTAAGAGCAAGCACAAGCAGAGGCAGGTCCCTGTGATGGCCAACGCAGACCTCCCGCTGCCTAGTGACATCCCGCCGTCCGACTGCGGTCCTGACCCTGGTGCCTCTTCCTGAAAGGAAGACAGGGCACCATACTCACCTGTGAGGAACGAAGTTTGTGCAGACACGGAGCTTCAGAGAAGCCGCGGAACGCGTGGGCCTGGGCCTCGCGCTGTTGGACACCCTTCTTTCCTCTGGGGGCATCTTTCCATGGGACTTTCAGAATAGAATCTGCTTCTGCTTCTGCCTGAAATCAGATTGCCTTGGGCTACGGATAAAGAGAAGTGAGTAGCTGTGCACCATGGAGCAGCTAATTCAAATTGTGAAATAGACATAAATCAGCCGTCCATTTTTGCTCCAGTGCGTTAGCATTCATCCACAATAACATGCTGCATATTTGCCAGTTTTTCTCGTTCTGCGGTGTAACACGCATGAGTGTGACGTTTGATTCATTCATTTCACTTTTTAACTTGCGCCATCGAAGCAAAGCAAGTCGCTAAGCTGTGCTTTAGAAAGGAGACGACGGTACAGGCAGGTGAATGACTTCCGTGAATGCACGCTAACGTATTTCATTTAAATGCTGGGCATAGTTTTTACCCATTGAGAGTATTCATACCGAGACACGTAAGGGATTTGTGTAAAAGTCGTCGCGTTTTGTTGGGTTTAGAAAACGTCATCAAAGAAAGGGACCGTGCTGTCACACGTCTCCGACATGCCCAGCACTGAGGACACGCGCCTTGCCCCAGCGCCCAGCGCTTTCTGCCTTCAGATTTGCCCCCCTTGTTCCCGGAAAGAGGACAGAAGCCTCCGGGCCCCCAGAGCCGAGGTTGGGGCAGGCTGGGCACGTAGACATGGAGGCTGCAGCTCTCCGCGGTGTGCCCACCTCGCTGCGTCTCCCCATTGCGCTCACGGAGCCAGGCATCGAGCCTTCGTCACCGCACGCATTGCTGAGCCCGGCCTCCCATGGCCCAGGGTTCGCGCTCGGAAACCGGCGGTGCTGACCAGACTCGGAGGTGGAAGGTGGCATGGACTCCAGCGTCTCCTCCGGACCGGGCCAGGCCCGCCGTTCCGTGTCAGCGCTGCCACGCGGGTCTCCAGGTTTGTCCCACGGACATCCTTCAGGGTGAACACGAGCGTCAATGCCCGCGCGCCCTCCCATTAGCCGTCCGCCCTCCGCCAAGTAAGGCACCTGTCTCCCTCCAAACTTATCACTTACCTCTGACACCTTTTTGATCGACACGTAACCATAGTAACGGCTCTGAATTTGCTGTTGGGCCTCACGTGTCTGGGGCGTCAGCACAGACAGATGCGCTCAGTCCTCGGAGGTAACAGCGTCCTCCACGCGGCTAGATGGCCAGCCTGTGGCCTCTGTGCTGGATGCCACAGCATGGACCCCGAGACACGGACACCGCTCTGGCCCTCCCCACGGGGAGCATGCTGGTGCAGGCGCCCGGCCTCCCCCTCCCCCCACGTCTGTGCAGTTCGGAATTCCCAGCCCTTAAGGTAGGGAAGTGCCCAGCCGGCACCCAGCCGGGCACCGTTCCTAGCTTCAGAATCCCCAGACGAAGGCCCCTCCTGCTGTGCACACGGCGCCATGCAGGACGTGGCGTGGCAGTGGGCGACTGGCCGTGGCTGCAGCCAGGCTCCGACACGCTCGGGGCACGCTCCGACAGGGCAGTGATTGATCCAGCTCCTGATTTGCAGGTGCTGTGTTGAGTGACAGTGACGTGGCTGGGTCGTGAGCAGGCGCCACGCACTTGATGGGGCACGTGTATGCTGAGCAGCATCCCGCCCGTGTCCGGTCAGGGAGGGGCATGCAAGGCAGATAGGCCACAGGCGGGGTGGAGGGACCTGCAGCCACAGGGTCCCAGCCGAGCTGCGTCACTGCACAGTCCCGCTGGGGCTGGGGAAGGGCAGGGTCACACCCTCTCACCAGCCCCACCTCCTGGTCCTGTGTCAGCGTCCACCCAGACCAGGCAGGCTCCTGGCCACCCCCGCGGTGTCCTATCCCAGTTTGCAGATGGTGCTCTGCCCAGTTGCGAAATTTCCAAGAGACCCCCTAGGAGCCAATTCCGATGTAAACACACAGGGTCACTTTTATTCGGGCTCAGGCCAGACCAGCCCAGCGGGTCAGAGTCAAGAGCCCCGTATTAGTAGGGCCGGGTTTTTATTTGGC